TCTTATGTATGTGCATATATGATTGTGCATTTTTATCTATGTATTCCATATTCGATGCATTGGAATATGATTTTACTTGATGAATTGTTAACTATGATTTACTGTGATCTTTCTATCAGCAACTGCATTTTAATAACTGATTTCGTAGGCATACAATTTTCTCTTTCTACTTTTATCTTTTGAGTTCTGTTGCTCGTGACCTTTGTTTCACCTTGGTTAAGTGCATTCTCAAAGGTTGCAGTGTTTAACGATGGGAAATGCTCTGTACAGGCTGCTGAGGCAAAGATTAAGAGTTATGATGTAGAAGTATCGTCTCTAAAGGTTGAAATCAGGGAGTTAATTGATAAGGTAGAAAATGCTAATACCAAGGCCCAGTCATTTGAGAGAGAAACAAAGATTTTGGAACAGGAGAAGATCCATTTGGAGCAGAAGTATTCTTCTGAGTTCAGGAGATTTGCAGAAGTAGAAGAAAGGTGTAGAGCAGCTGAGAAAGAAGCGAAGAAAGCAACAGAATTGGCTGATAGGGCACGGGAAGAAGCAGTAGGTGCCCAAACGGAGAGAAGCGAGATACAAAAGTTGGCAATGGAAAGATTGTCTCAGACTGAAAGGGCCGAGAGGCAAATCGAGAACTTGGAGAGACAGAAAACAGACTTGGAGGATGAACTGCGTAGAATACGTTTGTCAGAGATGGATTCAGTGTCGAAAGTTGGATTATTAGAAGGTAGAGTCGAAGAGAGGGAGAAAGAGATCGAGTCATTATTAAAAGCAAACAATGAGCAGAGGACTAGTACAGTTAAAGTCCTTCAAGATCTTTTGGACTCTGAACGAGCAGCACATGCAGATGCAAATGAAAGGGCCGAGGCACTCTCTCTTCAGCTACAAGCTGCACAAGCCAAACTTGATTCACTCCAGCAGGAGTTGACTTCCGTCTGGCTCAATGAAACGGCATTGGGTGGTAAGCTCAAAACCACTTCCCATGGAAAGAGATCAAGGGCAGATGATGTGGAAATGGGCGTGGGATCTGTCCAAGATATAGACACGAGTGACAGAATCAGAGCAAATAAAAAGTCCAGGAGCACAACTAACACCCACTTGTACTCGCAATCAGGTGATGGCGTGTCAGTATTCAAAGGCGGCGATGACAGCCAGAATCAGCAAAACAATCAAGAAGATTATACGAAGTTCACCGTGCAGAAACTTAAGCAGGAACTCACCAAACTAAACTTTGGTGCGGAGTTGCTTGCGCTGCGGAATCCGAACAAGAAAGAAATCCTCGCACTGTATGAGAAATGTGTTCTGCAGAAATCATAACCGTTGTAAGAGGGTATTGCATGTATTCTACACTTTGTCCATAATTTAGAGTGGTAGTTTCTTTTGTTTAATATTGATTTTAAACCGACAGTTAGGATGATGCCTTTTCTTTGGAATGTGTAATGTTATGTAACGGTGTGATTTTAGCAGTTGAGAATGCGTCCTTGAACGTGAGAAACCTATCTGAAGTAATATTTACAGTTTGGTGATGTTTTGTTGAGAATGCGTCCACTATACCACTCTATGTACATTATGGGTGTCTGGCTCTACTGACCAGCCATAAATTACATTATTTGTTGGAGTTAGTTTGACGACATCCCCAGCTGCTTGACATATTATTTTAATTTAGCCAAGACTCTTAAAAATTTAAAGAATTAATTCTACTTTTATCCAACAACTCACATAGCTTAGATGCTTGGCTAACCAAAAACTCTCCCTCCCTACAATCTTACCAGCCAAGGCATGGCAACCATCAATGGCTAACTTTGTAGAGACTAAAGGTAGCCCAAGATGTTTACTAGGTAGATTGCCTACTTTAAACCCAATATTTAAAAAGTCAATTTAGAAAATATCCCAATTTTGATAGCACTGAGCAAATAATTAAAATCATTGTAGTATGCACTACATCCCCTTACCTAATGCCTCCAGCACCTTTCAATTAACACATCAATCCTCCATTAAGTTCAGCCAACTGTATCAAAGGCTTTTTTGCAGGGTCTATTTATTATTATTATTATAGTATCTGTTTAAAAAAAACTCTCAATTATCTGACATCGAACGTTCAAATCTCTGACATTCATGGTACCCGAACCCGGGACCTCAAGAAATAACAATAATTCATTTACTATCGAGATTACTTGATTCGTGCGCAGATCTATTTTAAATGTGCTTCATGGAGAGATCTTCCTAGAATACATTCAAACTAGTTCATGAGCCAGCAAGAAGCCATCAATGATATTCCAGCTTGTATAAAAGCTGACTGGCTAAGATAGATTACATCTAGCAGAAATTAAGTTTTCCAACAATAATTTCCTTGTACACTTGCAAACTGTAGAGCAATAAGATATACAAAGTAATACGTTTAAAATTTTTATTAGCTTATAATTAGAGCCATATCGGACACTTTTGGGCCTTGAGCGGAACGAAAATATAAGTTAGTATAAAACGAAACTATATTCTATTACTTTGAATAATTAATTTAATATTATATTAATAAAATATAGAAAAATGATTAATTAGAGGTTTAGATTATAAAAGTAAAAAAGTACGATTAAAAAAAATTAGAGTCATCAATTATAAAGGTAAAAATTGCGATTAAAAAACTAGGGGCCTCAATTTTAAAGTAAAAAAATGAAATTGAAAAAAATTAAGGGCCTAAATTATATAAGTAAAAAGAGGGATTAAAAAAATTAGGTGTCTCAATTATAAAGGTAAAAAGTGAGATTAAAAAAAATTAGGTGCCTCAATTATAAAGGTAAAAAGTGAGATTAAAAATTAGGGGTTTCAATTATAAAGGTAGAAAGTGATATTAAAAAAAATTAGGAGCTCAATTATGAAGGTTATTGAAAAACTTAGAATCATCAATTATAAATGTAAAAAAGTAAGATTTGAAAAATTAAAGGAATCAATTATAAAGATAAAAAATATGATTATAAAAATTACGAACCTCAATTATAAAGATAAAAAATAAATTGAATAAAATTAAAGGATTTAATTATGAAAAAAAAAAGTATCATATAAAAATGAAGGGTTCTATAAAAGATGGGGCCTGAGCAGTTGCTCAAGTATGGTCTTTAGCACTCCCCATGGGTGTTTTTGTCAATAGGATAAACAATTTTATTAATTAGTTAAATAAGGTATATAAAAATTTATTTTTGAGATCTACGACATTTATTACAGTAATTTAAAATTTGTTACGTTTTGATGTATCGTGTTTTAATAAAAATATTTTTTTATTCAAATTTTTTACTTTGATATGATAAAACTTAATAAAAAAATATATTTTATTAAAACTCGTTACCTTGAAGTGACGAATTTAAATAAAAAAAATATTATTTGGATAAACTCGTCACCTTATCATTCCTTTAACACTATAATAAATACTGTAGATCTCAAAATAAACTTCTATATATCTTATTAGACTAATTAATAAAACTATTGGTCTTATTGGGGTGTGGGGGTGGTTTGGTGTAGGGGAACCTCCCCTATGAGAAAATGAGTTGCTTGACTTTCTCTTTAGCGACTCTTCTAACCAAATCATCCTTAGCCACATCAATAACAACAACAAAATCATATTCCTATATACAATAGGGTAAGGAGGAGGTAGGGTAGTAGGCTAACTTTAACGTCAGGTTACGAATAATTTTCATGGAAGACCTCCGACAGTCAGAAAATTACAAATAAAGATAAAATGCAATGTATGCATAAATAAATAAATAAATACATAGTTAAAACAGTCTTCAGATGCAGTGTAGCCACATCAATACATCATTTAGTTCAATTTGAAGTATTCCCTTAATGAAATCAGTAGAACAATCAATGGCAGTAGATTCGGGTTAACCAAGAAAGTCTTTGTAAATATTAACAACTTCATCAGAAACATCGTCAAAAGAATTCAGCCGCCGTCCACTTTCAGAAACCACCAACTTTATGGTACATTTATGCCTCTTAGAAACAACCAAATCGTGAAAAAAAATATATTTAAATTTTACTAATAAAATACTTATTAGATAAATTTAATTATCAAATGATCTTCGATTAAAAGAATTAAAATAAAATCTAACTTTATTTTCAATTAAAACTTGAATTAAAATCTCCCAATAGGACTCGAATATATCTACATCATAAAAGTATAGTTATCCAAAAGAAAAAGAAAGACGAGTGCTGAAGAAACTTGGTTAGTTCCAGGAAAAGATTGTAAGGTATCGTTGATTAAATAATCAATCGGACCTCCGACAATCAATGATATTGATGTCCAGAGAGATTTGACCCATACAAAATGTGGACATTTCCCCAAGGGAGCTTGAGCCTACGAAATATAGGCCATCACTTTACAAGTATGGTACCACATGGATGTAGGGTTCTTGAAAAAATATTAATTAAATTAAAATATCTTTTAAAAGAAATTAAAAAATATGTGAATGTTACAGTAATTGAAGAGTAACCAAAAACACAGTGCGCCTTTAACGTTTGAAGTGAGGATCATCGTGCTACTTTGAATAATTTTGAGGAGACACCATGATCTCAATGTGTCCTCCCTGAAATTACTTGAAATTGCATCATGCAAATTGCAATTTTGCAATATGTAAGTTGGAGGGGATTGAAGTACGACTTAGCTCAGGTTGTCCGAAGATACACTGTATTCCCTACGACTTTTTAAAAATATATTGTGTTTTCGACGACTTTCGACGAATACTGTAATATTCATACTGGACTCGAAAATAATTCTGATAAGACCCTATTTCAACCAATATTTTTTTCCACAACACCATAACAGCAAATCAGCCTGGTTTTGTTCAGTTGTCTAAAATAAAAATATTTCACAAATTTCTTCTAAAAAGACTCGGAAATTCTCTCGTAAAGAAAAACCTAAAGATGATCACAAATTTGATTGCAATTCATAAGTGATAAAACATAATACATCCATAGTCCTATTAGCAGAAAGTTTATAAGAGTCGTATATCTTGGTACAATCCTACTATGAATGACATCAAACCTTATAATAAATGACTAGAATGAATATAATATATGATTGTAGTAAAAACAAAGTTCTGCCAAATGACTAGTGTAATATATATCTCTATAGGGCAGCTGCTCCCTTGTCACAGACCTTGGTTCAAGACCATGCATGAAGACAACATACGTTCATCTGAGTTATTCTTTCATTCCCTCCTTCAATTCCTGAGCAAAACCACAATCCGATAATTAAGTTTGATTATTACAGAACAGCAAAACCAACAGCAACCAAATAAGTCGTCGTCTAAAAAAATGTTCTTTTCAGATTGATCTCCCTTTCCCTTTGCTTGTACCAGAGGCTACCCTAAAAAACGATGACCCATCACCTCGAACAACAAAATTAGGGATTATCTGAGGTGGGTTTTCTCTACAACGATGACTTCCATGATAAGATGAAACAAAAGGTTGATTGTAATACTCGACGTTAGGACTTTGAATGTTTTTTCTATTACCACTTGGACTGCATTGTCTAGGCTGAGTTTGGTAAAATACTTTGGAAACCACCAACTCGCCATCTTTCTCATCTTCCTCGCTCCCAAGGTGATATTGATGCATCACCCAGTTTGTCTTCTCCGGCTTCCTTTGCCGACCGTAGTTCGTGTAGAGCACTAGAATCTTTTTGAACCCTTTCACTGTCCCACCGACCAAAACTGGTCTGGTTTTGCCTGTTTTATGCCACCTCGTTTCGCTTCCGCATTCCTCATCGGTGTGTACTTTTCTTCTCTTCCTGGTCCCTGTTGTGTACGCCTTGGATGGTCGATGAAAAAAGTGTCGAATTTGGCCATCTTTGCTTACACCTGCACCATCACAATGTTAACAGATAAGAAACACATATCATACACAGAAACGGACGTCCTGCGAACTTGAGAATTTATATTAAAAATTTAGAGGGTGCGAAATTAGTTACCTGGAAGCCTCTCTGGGTGCGTATAACAAATCCCATTTTCTCCTTCAAGCGTTGGAATAAACTCATCGATCAATGGATGAAGCTTGTGCTTGTCCAATATTACCTTTGCTCCTAAATGCTCTAGAATTTCCTGATCCGTGGGATCAAATTTCACTCCTGCTGGTAAACCGGGCAGATCATGAATCCCCGCCTGAAATCACATAAAATTAGACAAAGCATCAGCTCATAAAAGGGCTTTACTTGTAGTGTAAGTTATGGTTCTGTATGAACCTGATCATGATAGGGCATGTTATGGCCACATGAAGGGCATGTCATGGTTGGTGTTTCGTTAATTTTGGTGGCTGAAACGTCTGCTTCTGAGGCGACGGCGGCGGGTTCATTGCTGGCGGCTGAAGTGACAATCTCTAGAGCCCTATCATCAACAGTATTATCGCACCATGTCATCTCTCTCGTTCTTCTGATTTTATTCCCATTACAAACCCGAGTTTCACTTCTTGTTCTTCCTCCACTTCTCCAAACACGTAAAACGCAAAAAATTCTAACAAGATTGACACGAAACAAAAGAGAAAAAAAAATTAAAACAAAGCTTTTGACTTGTAGAACACGTTTACAGTTACCCACTTTTCGTTCTCTTGATGTTTGGCAATGGAATTTAATTCTTCAAAGTTGTTTACTCTCCTTTTTTTAAAGAAAAAAAATTTTCGCTTATGATTATGTATAGTTGCAGCTGTGTGCTTAGATACAGTAATCAACAGAGAGAGAGAGAGAGGGGGGGGGTTTGAAAGGAAGAGCATGAAAGAAAGAAGAAGCTTTGGATTTATTTAATTTCAGTAATTATTTTTTCGGTTACAAAACATTAATAAATAACAAATTCTGGATAATTGTTGCTTGGACGTCAAGTTGAGTTATGTTATTCTACGTGCGATTCTATGATATAACACATGCAAATGAAATTATAAGTAGCGGACAAAATTCGACTCGACTCGAAAAATCGATTTTTTACTCGGATCGACTTGAAAAAATTTCAAGTTCAAATAGAGTTGTAAAATACAATTTGAATAACTCAAATTTTTTAGTAATTATTAGATTGATTTTCAAGCTTGAGTCGAGTCTCTTAATTTTATATAATATATGTGAATCATATATAAACAAAATATAAAAAATATATATATATATATATATATATTGTATATTGTACATGATTATAAAATATTATTTCATTGGAATTAAATAATGTCATAATATTGTAAATATTTGTAATTAAATTTAAATGGGAATTCAAAAAATCAACTCGACTCGATTTGACTCAAATTTTATAAACTCGACTCTAGTAAATTTTAAGTTAACTCCGAGTTATAAAATAGCACTCGTGAACTTAAATAACTCAAAAATTTTTTAACTCAACTTGACTCGACTCGATTGAATGCTCGCCACTAATTGTTGTTTTACCAAACCTTTCTGCTTTATCACCGTTCACATACTCATTAAGGTGGTGTTTAATTTTAAAGAGGTAAAAGATCTGCAGTCTGCGGACCACATCTGCAGCAGAAGAGGTGGACCAAAAGTCTGCAGTCTGCAAGAAGAAGACTGTTTGTTTTTTAACGTCTGCAGACTGCTAAAATAAACTGAAATATAAAATAAACTGATTTTTTAAACTTAAAAGAGTTTTGCAATACTGAAATTTAAATAATTTTAGTTTTATAATATTGAAATTTAAATAATCCATACAACTACAATAATAAATTTTTTTAAAAATAAATCAATTCATATTTTAAAATAAATCAATCCATATTTTAAAATAAATCAATTCATATTTTAAAATAAATCAATCCATATTTTAAAATAAATTTTTTCATATTTTAAAATAAATCAATCCATATTTTAAAATAAATCAATCTATATTTTAAAATAAATCAATCCATATTTTAAAATAAATTTTTCTATATTTTAAAATAAATCAATCTATATTTTAAAATAAATCAATCCATATTTTAAAATAATTTTTTCCATATTTTAAAATAAATCAATCCATATTTTAAAATAATTTTTTCCATATTTTAAAATAATTTTTTTCATATTTTAAAATAAATCAATCTATATTTTAAAATAAATTTTAAAATATATTTAAATGATTTTAATTTTCCCGCAGACTTTTGAAGACATAAAACCATGTCTGCACCAAGAAGAGCTCGCACAGACGTTTAAAGAGCTTCTGTCTTCTAAAAAACAAACGGTCTGCGAAGCCTAATGTCTGCACGTGGTCTGCGCGACGCAGACATAAGATGTTTGTAGAGTTTGCACAGTAAAAACAAACTAAGCCTAAGTGTCCATTTATGCATGTGACGTCTCAACTTGGACCACGCCTCCATCCTGGCATATTGTGAGCGAACTTGCTCACTCTGCACCCTTGGCTTGACGACTTTATCTCTCACTATCGCATCAGGTCTTTTCCTGTGCTCGACTACTTTGATACTTGCAGTCTCGTTACTTCTCGATCCTAGATTGATTACTTTGGAACTTATAGTCGCACCATACTTCCTCTTTGATTCATTTACTTTGAAACATGTAGTCTCACTAAGTCTTTCTCCTGACTTGAGGGTTTGGTTCTAATCTTGGTGAGTTTGTATGCTCACTAGGTTTGGATAAGACTTATTTAGTAGTAAAAAAGACCCAAAAATATCAAAAAGCGTTTAAGATAACACGTTTTATCATACCTTAACTCTGTCTAACCCCATAAATTGGGATGAATTTGTACCACCCAACACCTAATCCGACAATGAAATTTTTTTTCATATAAAGATTGTAATTATAAATTTATTTATATGATATCAAATTAATTACTACTCGAATCAATTCTATCTTTCTTTCTAAATCACAATCTTTAACGTAACTAGGACATATAATAAGACAGCCGACATGACATGTTAAAGGAGTCTGAAGTCATGTTGGAGAACTTCACTCATAAGCCACGAAACAACAACTACATGAAATAACTTCTCCATTAAGCTTTCAAGTTTCCCCCTTTTTTTGGGAATATTTTTTTTTCATAGTACGGAAATTTAATCAATAATTGATAAAATTATCACATAAATTCTAAAATACAATTTGATTTTGATCGGACAAAATTGAACTCTTACAAATACAATAAACAAACATTATAAATTCTATATTTTAATACTTATTATAAAATAATATGATACATATAATAAAAAGTTTTCTATAATATTTTTTTATGTTTTCTATTAACTTTATGGAATAATTCGATATAATATTTCGTTGTACAACTCATACATGTAACATTAATAAAATAAAATAAATATAGTACCTAATATATACTTACATCGGTATAAGTATGTACATCTCTCAATATCTTAGTACCTAACAATAAACACATAATTATATTGATGTAAGTATGTTCATGTGATTCAAGTGACCTAATTAACTAATCAAACACAAGATTCAAGTGATTCATAACACGAATTTGTAACATACAAATGGGATGAAAGAGGCTTGGAATAACCCTCATACCTCAAATCCTCTCAAAACCTTCTTAGCTAGTATAGCAAGCAAAGAGTGCAACATAACATAAGCATGAAAGTTCAATGTCTTCTAGCATTCAGAAAGGCAACATGAAATAAAGATGTCTTTGAGTTCAATGTATTTTCATTTTTCCCACTAAAATTTCAAAAAGTAGCAAATTGGTCACTGATATTTTCGATTTGTAATAAATTAGTTACTAATATTATTAATTTATAATAAATCGATCACTCGACGTTAATAGTTGTTAACTTGTGTGACGAAAAAATGATATGGAAAGTTAAATTGGTTGACTTGATAATGTTTGGTCGTACGAGACAACCACGTTGATTGACAATTTGACTCATCTTTTTGAAAATCCTTAAAAACTCATAACCTCTTACATCTTCCCTCTTCTCCGGATGAAAAAGATTGGATGGCAATAAGTGCTACAGGTTATGAACTCTCTTACTTACTTCTAACCGTGGGAATTGCAAGGGCAAGATACTAGGTCATTTCCCCTGATTGTCTCAGTGTAAGCATTGATGCTGGACTTTGTTCACAAGTTAGTGGATGCTTGCATTGAGACAATGGAGTCAGGGAAAATGACCAAGGATCTTGCCCTTTCAATTCCCATCGTTAGAAGTAAGAGAGTTCACAGCCTGTAGCACTTCTTGCCGTCCAACCTCTTTCATCCAGCGAAGAGGGAAGAGGCTATGGATTTTTAGGATTAAGGATCTTTAAAGAGGGGAGTCAGACAATCACCATGGTTGCCTCGTGTGGTCAAATATTGTCAAGTCGGTTAGTTTAACGCTCCACATCAGTTATTTGTCACCCACGTTAAAGACTGTTAACGTCAAGTGATAGATTTATTATAAACCGATAACGTTCATGACCAATTTGTGACAAATCAACAACATTAGTGACCAATTTGTTACTTTTGAAACTTCATTGGAGAAAACAAAAACTTACTCAACCATTAGTGACCATTTGTGTAGATTACCCTTTTTAAATTATAATTATATCTGTACTTGCATCTACTTAAGAAAACACATGAAACCTAAATCAATTCCTACAACTTATAAATTAGAAAACAAAATCTTGCAGGGTAAGCTCAGATTTTGCAGATCTGATAACTGCACCTTTTGCCTATGCTTGCTTCACTTCTATTCTGAATCATAGATTTCATAATAATTTTGTAAATTTAAATGTTATTTTATAAATTTGAAAGTTAATCTAAATAATTATTTGATCTTAATAAATTATTAATGTATTTAATATATTGCAAAATTCATTATTGTAATTAAATTTTAAATATAAAATTCATTACTATATAACTCAGAGATCTACAAGCAAAGCGAAGATATATTACTTTTCATCTCACTACTATAAATTTATTAAAAAAACTAAATATTATTCCATTGTAACAAAAACTTTGATACTCAGTCCATGCATTGCCAAAATTGATCAAATCCTACAAAACCAGAGAAAATGGTGTTATTGGATAACAAAGGAAGTTCAAACTAAGGAATCGATGGATATGTGATAAAGGAAATGTGTTATTCATACTGTTTATAGTCTATATTAATGATGCCGGCGACCGGGTCAGCAATAGTAGCAAAGGCTTCCCGAGAAAGATCAATGGTTGAAGGGCATCCCGGACAGTGATCAACGATCTTGACGGTAACACTCTTGCCGGTGCATGGATGCGGCACGGGATTTCGAGGTCCGGTGCAAGTCACGGTGAACATTTTTCCGCAAACTGCTCCGTTATTCCACAGTGCATCGCCGGCTGCAGCAATCATGTTACCTTGGGGCTTGTTTCCGTAGCATGCAGAAGCTACCAACAATCACAATATATATCATATAGTGTTCCAATTCAAAGTATTTGATTAAGTAAAGTTCTCTCGACACTCTTTTCTCCTTCTGTTGTTCTAATCGAGCCTCCATTCGATAGAGATATGAGAGGATTTTAACGAGGCCCTAATTACATTTTAAAAAAAATTGAAAAAAAAATACGTACGAACATAACTTGTATAAAATGTGGCGATTCCTGCTGTTGCTGAAGCAATGGAGACAAGGCAGGCAAAGATACCAACAAAAATCAAACTAGTGTTCCCCATTTGCTTAATTAGGGTTTCAAATTCTAAGGTTGTTGTCGTAGTGAGTACTTTAACATGTATGTATGGTCCAATTTTATAGGCTAATTGCCTTCCATATTCATTTATTGTAATTAATTCACCTTTAATGCTAATTCATAATCTTTTATATAAATGAGAAATCCATAAATACAAAAAAAAAAGACAAAAATGGATTTCCTACCAATTATTTTTTTTTGAAAATAAATGAGATTCAAACCAATTATATATTAATTAAATGGGGTTATATTGGTTTAGAGTTAGAAAATTAGGGTTTTGAATCATTTAAATACGTTAGATAACATTCAAATAGATATATTTGTAGAATTTAATTTTAAAAAAATATTCTAAAAATCTCATTTAAAAAATATTTATAATGGCCATTATAAACCTAAAACATGTTTCTTAATTTACTTAAGATCTAAATGCAGGAAACAAATTAGGAAAAATTAACAAATTGTGGCATAGAATGAGCTCGGTTATATTTCCAAATTTTAAGGGTTTATTGATCAAATATATATTAGTTTATACCCCTTTTTATGATAATAAATTCATTGATAAAATATCGATTTATCTTTTCGTGGTTCAATTTGATATTTGAAATCTTTTAAATAGCTCGAGTTAGAACATTGGTAAATTACGAGTTTAGTACTCAAACTATTAGTTTTAGTTCATTTTAATATCTTAACTTTCAGTTTTTTTTAAAATTATACTTAAAGTTTAGTTTTTGTTTCATTTTTCAAAATTTTATGTTAAATTTTGATTTTTTTTTTTTAAGTTTAGGTACAAAACGAGTCAAAACTGATAGTTTAAATACTAGATGCGTTAAGTTTTTAACGGTGGAGTACTAAAATGAGTGTCCATAACTTTACTTAATCAAATACTTTGAATTGGAACACTATATGATATAATATTGTGATTGTTGGTAGCTTCTGCATACCACGGAAACAAGCCCCAAGGTAACATGATGGCTGCAGCCGACGATGCACTGCAGAATAACGGTGCAGTGTGTGGAAAAATGTTCACTGTGACTTGCACTGAACCCTGAAACCCTGTACTGCATCCATGTACCGGCAAGACCATTACCGTGAAGATCGTTGATCACTGCCCAGGATGCCAATCAACCGATCTTTCCCGTGAAGCCTTCGCTCTTATCGCCAACCTGGTCGCCAGCATCATTAATGTCGACTACAAACAGTATGAATGACACATTTCGTTTATCATACCCATTGATTCTTAAGCGTAAAGTTCCTTTGTTCAATGCGATAACATCATTTTCTGTGGTTTTTGTAGGGTTTGATCAATTTTGGCGATTCAAGAGCTGACGTTTAAGTATCAAGTTTTTAGTGTTAATGGAATAGTATTTACGTTTTTAATAAATTTATAGCAGTGTGTAGTAATGAGATGAAATTATAAATTTTTGTTGGCGTAATGTACCTTAGCTTTGCTTCTAATATAGGAATTAAAGTGTAGTTGTTAAAATATAGGAAAATAAAGATGGCTTTTGGAAGTTAAGGGACAGAATATTCCAAAAACAAAAAAAATTTAGAGGGCAATTAGATAAAAAGGGTATACTTTAAAAGAGTTGAACTTTTTAAAAAATATTGATTTTTAAGCTCAACCGAATGTGCAATGGTGATCAATGGTCACACACATAATGGTAGATTACTTTGGTAATTACATAAGTGGTGTAGGAGCCATCTCGTGGTTATACACTTTATATACAATATGAGTTTATATTTTAGGGGATAATTTAATAAAAAAAGATATAGTATTAATTTTGAAGCTCAACCGGAGTTTTTTTTTATTGTGGCAAAAAAATGATTTTATTATCGTAATCGAAAAGTAATGACCAAAGTAGAATGATTCGTTAAAAACCTTTCTAACCCTAAATGGAAAAAAAGAGCATAATCTATACAACTATACAAAAACTAGAAGCTAGAAGCTAGAAAGATCAACATGAAGCAAAATAGCATCCAAATCCAACTGATTCGACCAAAACCCTACAATCTACCCTCTTGATCAGCAAAAAACACCAAGGTTACATAACATATCCTTACTAAAAACTCTCCAATCGACTAAGAATGATAATACTGCACGAGAACCCCACCTACGAAAACAAAAAGGATAATCACCAAGTAAAACCTATTACTCTCATGCTAACTATATACCATGGAAACGAAAGGCACTCTGGTGCAAAACAAAAGCCATTCAAATAACACCTCTAACTAATGCAATAACGAATTAAAAATTATCAAGATCCTAACGAAGAAATCAGAAGACAAACCAGAGGATAAGAGACGAAACAATTTCCATGGCCATCAAGACCTAACCTACCCAAACTGCCTCGTGGAAACTTCCAAAGATATCAAAATTGCTTGTAAATATATTGTTACCACCATGCATATTACAAAGCTTGTCGATGAAATCCAACTGAACTTTGATAATGTTCTTCACCAACCCCGACTACACAACATATTTGGATCCTCAAAACCAACCAACCCAGTTCCCATATTTGAATTGTAAGGACCCAAAATTCACATAAAAAACTCTCTTCCAACCATTACTGTTTGCATATGAGACTCAATAATGCAAAATGAACACTGCAACCTTTAAAACCGAAGGCCATCAAATTTGTTCACCAATTTTTGTGCGCAACTTTTCCCATAGAATTAACAGTTGAGCAGTGTTAAAGTACAATGCAAATTCTAGAGTTATTTAGTTTATATATATTAAGAATACTTTAGAATAATATAGAAATTATAGATGTGTAAAAATATCCATATAAAAATCTAGATAGATATTTGTAATATTTAATATTATATTTAGAATGATATATTAGAAGAATCTAGATATTTATAATATTAAATGATTAAGATGTTATCATGTGTCAACAATCTAATGGCTACTAGAATCTATAAATAGGGGTAAGATTTACCATTGTAGTAAGAGTGAAAAAGTGAGAAAAGTGTGCCAAAAGTGTGAGATAGAGAACGAGAGCTTAGAGGTAGAGAAAGTAAAGTAGTGGGGTAAGTGAGTAATATTGTAATTGTATTTTATATCAATAAAAATATTATCTTCTCTTAAGTTTCCCGATTAAGCCTTAGTTATTTCTAAGTTCTTAATGCACTTGTGTTAGTTCTATTATATGGCCGGCTCTGCCACCTGATTGATATATGGTCGGTTATACCGCCTGATTGATATATGGTCGGTTCTGCCGCCTGAGTGATATATGGTCGACCCTGCCGCCTAAATATTATTGTGCACTAAGAATTTTTAAGATAAAAGGCTAAGCAACATTAAAAGTGTTGGTGTAGTGTGAGTGGTATATCCTAAGTCTTCTATAGTAAGTGGGTTGGGCTCGTCAAAGTTTCCAATAAGCATCACTCAAGCAACCAAGATCTTTAAGCATCCTAAGGAATGATATATTGTAAAAATTTAAAAGCCCAAATACATTTCCCCTACACTGATCAAGAATTTTACAACACTCTTCATGAACTTGGTAAACACACTTAGAGAGTTTCTCAAGCCTCACTTTTTTTTTGAATGTAAAGGAGCCACCAGCACTAGTTGTCAGCTTTCGCTCGGATCACCTCTTGCACTTCAACGAAAGGAGTGCTGAATGTGCGTAAGCCAGGAGTCATCGATCGAGCCATTTTCGCCATACAATCAACTGTCATATTCCTCTCTCGAACTGTATGAGACAATTGTACAACCCAATCTCGACTAACAAAGATTTAATCATGAGAAAAATTAAAGCCTCATATAAATATATTTTAAGAATTATACCATTCATCAACAATGAATCGTAATTAGCAGATTATCACGTTTTGCTTCAATATAATATTAAAATTTATCGCATCTTTAATATATATATATATATATTAAAAAATATTTATAAAATATCATGTTATTTTTTATTATATTTATAATATTAATTATACTTTTAAAATTTATAAATTATAATTTTATTTTATAAAGTTTTAATATTTTAAACTAACAATATAATTCGGACTTATATATTTCTATTATATATTTTGTTAGATTTACCTATAAGAAGTGCTCAATATTTTGATATAAATAAAAAAATAAATTAAAAATGTCAGCTCTTGTGATTTGAGCCCATAAATAAAGAAAATAAATATATTATATAAATAAAGAAATATAATATATATATAAAATATATAAATCTATATCTAAATATATAGATAATATAAATATCTAAATTGCATATAAAATTTTAAAATTAAAATAAGATAAAGTAATAAATTATTAAAGAAATGAATACATAAAATAAATACAATAATAGATAAAACGAAATGCGACTTCCCCCTACATATTTTATACTTTCTCATACCAAAAAACTTGTAATGCCTACTCCATTTGTAATTCCATCGATTACTCGCCTATCAAAAAAATGAGTTAGTTCGGCTAATATTATAAACATAAAAATTATAACATAATAATATTATAAACATAAAATTTATTGGTTTAGTGGTAATGCATATTAAGATTTTTGGTATCTTTATTTTTTAAAAGAAACATTAATAATAAATTTATTATTATGATTTAATTTTAAAGTACATTGAAGGGTTTTAATCTAAATTCATTGAGTATTGAGATTATTTTTAGTGAAATCAAACACAAAATTCGTGTTCAAAAGGTTAAAAGGAGTGAAATACAAATTTTAGGATTCAAATATACTAGAGATGACAACATTTGATTAACCAACGGTGGCCGGTGGTGACGGTAGTGAGTGACAGCCGACGGTGGAAGACTGATTGAATTAGGGGTCATATTAATGTTTTATCTAAATGTTAAGGTTAAAATAATATTTTATCTAAAGTTTTAGGATAAAACTTAGAAATCAACTCTTTTTACTCACGTGTCACGCCGTCAAATTAACAAGAGTTGTCGATTCAGTGATCAAAATATAAAAATCAATAATATAAGTTTTTAAAATTAATGATAGAAAGTAAACATAACTAAAATGTAAATTATCATCTAGTAGTTTATCCAATATGATGTTAATCAATAAATCTCAACTATCATTATGTTCCTCTAT